TTTTTTGTAGTTGCTTCAATGCAATCAGGATAAAGTGCTTCACCTACTCTACGTCTCATTTCAAGTTTTTTTTAACACTTAGTAAAGTTCTATATGAGCCCCGTTAGTGGCACGGCAGACGTCTAAACGGTATTCTACCTCTTCCCATGTCCTGGCGAGCATGTCTGGGGGGACGGTTGCCACACAATTGACTATTCGTTCCCTGAGATGTTGAACATCACGAATTTTCTCTGCATACACAAGATTCTTGATATGCCCCCAGAAGAAAAAATCCAACGGAGTCAGATCAGGGCTCCTTGGAGGCCATGGAATAGGTCCCTCCCTTCCGATCCACCTGTTCTTGGTAAACCAGTTGATCTTGGTAACCCCAACTCCAGGCTGCGTCTTGTCAACGATTTCTTAGGGCTTCGAAGGCATGAAGCTCGGATTCTGTCCACTTTCTCTTGAGACACACTCGGCCTACCCGGCGACTTTTGCTTCAAAACACTTCCTGTTTCCTTGAATGCACTGAACCATTGACGAATAGTTTTGTCAGAAGGCGGGTTAACACCATAGTTACGTCGAAAGTTTCTTTGTACGGTAACTAAAGACTTCGTTTCTATGAGCCAAATAACACATTGAGCCTTTTGTTGCGGACTCGCCATCATTTCAAATTTCACGACGTCATTTCAAGGTCAACGCCCTGCAGCGCCGCCAACAGTTGATACAAACATTCCCAATTGGTATGAGTAAAACTTTTTGAGCTACTCTTTTCAGAGAAATCGACTAAATTTTGCTATCTTTTATAGTTAGTGAGATATGAATTTTTAAAACCCCGGAGATCTTTTATAGACACCCTGTATATATATATATATATAAATTAAGTCTGAAAAAGGTGGAAAAAATAAGTATGTCTTATTAACTTATTAACGAGGAATAAGATGTCAATTATTCGAGAAACATTTCTATTCAATTATGAAGTTTAAATTATTAAAAGAAAAAAAAAACTCCTGAGTATTTGAAAATGATATTTTAAGACAATTACAGCTAATCACGGAAAAAAACTATTACTATTCTACGACTCCTAGTTATCCAAGTTCCGATAGAATCACTTTCTTATTAATTAAGATATCCAACTGGGTGAAAATCAGAAACTTTGACAATTATTGCTAATTTCTTTTTTCTTATTATCTATAATTGAACTTTTGTTCATTAGCTTTCTCAATATCTCTAAAGTCTTTCTCCGATCTTTAGAATTGAAGTTGTAGTTTTTTTTCCTCCTGCTGATAGTCGAAATAGAATAGAAATTACATACTTCAAATTGATTTTCAAAGAAACATTGATTTTGAGAAAATCTCTTTACGGCAACACGCATTGCAAAAGGATTTTATTACAGAATTGATTTTGCGTGCGTAGATTTTGTGTAATGTTATCCATGTTTTAATTTAAATGCTATTGAAGGGCTATAAGGGTGAATTATTTTTTTTTTATCCTTCTTTTAGTGAAAATGTTTAGAATATTTCTTTAAAAAATCAATATCGAAGAACATATTTCATTGTATATTTGAAATTTTTAAAAAAAATTAGATCAAAACACAGGTATACATATTATTGATCTAGAAAAAAAGTTAGTTTGATATTTATTTATTGCAGTTTGTTGCAGAGTTGTTAGCGTGACATAATAAGCTTGTAGTTTTTATGATCAAGTTTGCCCTTAAACTGAGAAAAATGTCTCATAAATTTTAAATTTTACTTTAGATTTAAAGTTTTTGAGCAATTTTTAAAAACCCTTCTTACCAAAAATAAATTTAAAATTTTAGTTATAAGGACATTTTCACGCGATATTGTCTCAAAAGTTATCATTTGTAATTCCCATTTTGCAAATGATAAAATTGCTCTTAAAGAAATATTCTACATAATATATAAAATTCGGTGTTTTTTTAAAAAAATAAAATACTCTCTACTTGCTTAAAAAGAAACATTGAAATTAATATAATATTATATTAAATTGGATGTATTAAGAATGTGTTTTCTAGTTTAATGAAAAATATCCCTTTTATCAGAAAAAAATAAAGTTATGTTTAATTTATTGCATTCAAACAGATATTAATACACGATGTATGAATCTCATAATTAAAAGTTTTGAAAAAATATATAATTAAGAGTCTAGCAATAGTATTAAAATAAAAACGCTCTCTTTGTGTCTATATTTTTAATCATTTACAATATCTCAGATAAGATGATCACTAAGAATTTCGATCGTTATGTTTCTAAATTTAAAGTTCCTAAGAAATCTACCAACAAATTAAAATCTATTTTTAGAGACCAATCATTATTAAACTTTTGGTAAGGTTGAGTTTGGGTGGAGCAAATTATCTTTCTAACCTCCTAGATGGGAAATTATATCCCAAGTACAAAGAAGAAGGTTATTTTTGAATCAATTAATCATTTCTCCAGATTAATAGGAATTCTGTCGATGAAAGAATAATGTAGCAATGACATGCATTGTTTCTAATGAATAACTTAATAAAAATGCATGCATAAATGCTTCCATAACGAAAGACAATAAAGAAGGAGCTTGTGTGGATAAGTATAATAAATTTGAAAAAAAGTTTATTAATCATTCTTTTGAACATATCTCATATTTTGAACATATCTAAATTTGAACGCTTATCTTCATTTTGAATGATAAATAAGCTAGTTTAGATGAATGGTTTTTTTTTAAGATTTTCTTTCTTTTTTAATAATCTATTTCTTAATAATCTATCTCTTTTTAAATAATCTATTTCGTTTATAATAATCTATTTCTTTTTTAATAATCTATTTCTTTTTTTAATAATCTATTTCTTTTTTAATAATATACTTCTTTTTTAATAATCTATTTCTTTTTTAATAATATACTTCTTTTTTAATAATCCATTTCTTTTTTAATAACATACTTCTTTTTTAATAATCTGTTTCTTTTTTAATAATATATTGCCTGAAATTGTTTTTTTATGTACTATCCATATGAGAATGGGTATTAGTGGTTAGGAATATTCTTCTTTAATTTTGTAAATGCAAAGGAAATATCGCACGATTAATTTAACATAGCACGAAACAGTAATCGTGCAGAGATGTAAGCATTTTGAAAATCTGTGACAAATCGAATCTGATTAAAATAGAAAATATCAACTTTCTTGTATCAAGTTTGTTATATCTTTCCTTGTATATGTTTCAAAAGAGCGTATTCGTAGCTATTGAATACAATCGGAACCAGGGAGTAATTGTTTCACTAAGTAAGTCGAATGATACAAGTAGATACAAAATGATCCATGCCGATATCTAATACAAGCAGATACATCATGATTCAAGTCAGTATTTGCTTCTCATGGATATTGATATTTAGTTATACGATTTCCAAATAAATACAAGATTGTTTTATATGGTGCCACCATCTAGAGAATTAAATAAGATTATTTAAAAGTAATTTTTCAAGTTTTTTTTTTTTAGTTCAATTCTTCAGAAATGAATTGATACATTATTTGCCCGCTATTTTCATATTGTATTTTATTTATATTACAAGGTATTTTCTAGTACTTATAACAAAACATCAGATGCATAATTACAGTCCGTTCTTTTTTGCTGACACGTTGTACAGTTAGTTTTATTATAAATTATTACTCGCATAATAAGGTAATAAAAACAAAATGGAGCTAATTTTAATCTTAATATCCAGTCTTAAGTAACTAATCTTATTTTTTTTGACATTAATGCTTGAGTTTAATAAATATCAATTTTAATTGTCATAATACGTAACCTACATCCCAGTTTTATAAATAATTGCTTTAAGGATAAGTTACTACACAGGAAGTGAAATTTCATTGCTTAGAAAAATTTATATTTCATAAATTGTGATTAATATTGGTTTTGATTTAGTTTGTAAAAATAGTTTGATGTTGTTGTCGTCGTTGGCCATTAAGGCAAAGGGTGTGATTTTTCTTGTTTTCCAGTGGCACCATCTATGGTTGATAATTCAACTTCTGCCACACCCGTTTATAGGGCGGACATATTCATACATCCATTAATTCATACACAGATCATAATTTTGAACTGAACCAGAGAAATATCATTCTCCAATTCAGTACCCCCAGATGTATAATTTGTTATTGGAGCATGGAGGACATTGTGACCCGACAAATTTAACGTGCACCAGCCACCATTGACTGCACGGGGAGTCTTAGGCTGGCTAAATTCAAACTCCCGTTCTCACGAGAGTGAGTCCAGCATCCTGCTGAACCAGGTTATCCCTGCAAGTAGTTTGATAAATGAGCGTTTAATGTCAGTTAAAAATCATAACTATTAACAGAATTTCAAAAGTAAACATTTTACAACTTCCATTAAAAATAATAAATCTCTAAATATGAACAATATTTCAATTTTTTAAAAAAAGAAGCGAAAAAAAGAAACTTAAAATGTGTTTAAATAGTAATTTTTCCTAAATCTGTGTAAGCATTAAACAAATTTAATATATGAAATGCGGAAAGCAATTCAAGCAAATTAAATACTTTAATGAGTTGAATTTATTAAATAAAGCGTGGAAAAGTTGGAAATATATACTTTAAAGAATTAATCTAATAAATAAATACTCTAATGGGTAATGTGTTCATAAATAAATAATATTATCACAGAAATTTAAATATTGGAATCACTACAGTATTCACAGTTATGAGTCCAAACTAACTTTGTGAATTGATATGTACATTTAAGGTAAATTTCGGTTTATAAAAAGAGTATTATTAATTAAAATTATATTAAAAGTATTATTAATTAAAAGTAATTAAAAGTGAATATTAATTTTTGTAATAACATATCAATTACATTAAAAGCTTGATCTCACCTATTCTTTTTCATACTTTTTCTTTTTGAACAATTCAATTTGAAAAATAAGTACCTGATTTATTAGATTCAAAACCAGTTTAAGAAAAATTAAGAAGTTCAGAAACTTAAGAAAACTTACCATTTCTAGTTGCTTTTGATATGTTGCGCAACTTAGATTTGCTTCAATAATGGAGTGACCACCATTATATACCGCGCATATGACAAGACCCAAAGAGAACATGTCACTTAGCGGACTGCATTTTGATAGATTTTGTATTTCTGGTGCAGTAAAATCTAGATCTGGTTGTCCCATTTTAGGCAATTTGGACGTAAACGCTTGGCAAGGCACCGGCTTCTGTTAAAAGATAAAGGAAATGGGTTAAATTTTATAAAATAGGCGATAGAAAATTTTTACATATCATTATTAGAACGTTCTAACATTATAACGTATTTTTTCTGAGTAAACATGGATTTTTTTAGAGTGGTATGGATTTTAAAACCTAATATAAAGTAAAAAAAAAATTTAAAGAAAAACTTTTTTTCAAAATTTTATAACTTTAGAAATACTTGTCCGATTTCGTTCAAACTTTGTATTTTGTTATTTAAAATTACATAGTTTATACTTTTGCAAAAAAAAACATATGTTACAAATAAAAGATTATTACTTAATTATATAATAATAATAATAATAATAAAATTATAAGTAATATTATTATTTTCTACTACAGATTATCTTTGGATAAATGAAATTTACTCACAAAAAACCATAGAATGAATTTGAGATAGCAAATTTATAACGAATTTCGCTCACGACTCCTGAATCCCACAAGATAAAATCAGCACTGTACACTCCGTTTACTGAGTATAGGACTGCATTCCAGATTCAGCTGGGTGCCAATTTGAGCTTCACTGGCAACCTACAGTAAGGCTCACTGCACGTAATGGTACGCCTACTCTACGTACAGCCAGCTTGTTCGAGATCATTTGTTCTTTGCAGTTTGTTCGATCACTAGTTTTTTCCCGTTATCCGTGAATTCTCAGCGCACTCTAAACATTGTCGACCTGGAAAATTCTAGTTCTGTGACAATTTTGCTATTTAAATGACAGCAGCGTCGAGTGGAAAAAGGGGTAAAAATTATGTACTGCTACGTCTCATTAATGCGTATGTGAAGGCGCTAAAGTAACTGCATACATGGCTAGTATTATGATTATATTTAATAAATTATTGTCCGCATGGGTGATTTAATCACTTTTGATCGTAGGCACTCGATGCTTGGCCATTCAAGTTTTAAAATTGTCAGAGTGCCAGAATAGTCCAGGTCAATCGTGTCTGGAGTATACCGAGAATTCACGGACAGTGGTGAGAAAAATTGTGATCGGACAAATTGTGTAAAAGTAAACGTAAACAAGCGTGTTGTATGTGCCTTGTGAAGAATAATTAGCTCAAATTGGCTCCCTACTGAATCAATGTCCCAGTCGTAGAGTCAGTAAGCAGTCCATGCAACGCTCATTTTTTCTCATAAACTTCGGTTGAAGAGGACTTACTTGTTATAAATTGCTATCGCTATTTGAATGGCACTTTAGTGTACATTAGTGGGCAAAAATTTATAGAATAACTTCAAACGTTCTTGAGATATCAAGAAATAGATAAAAAGTGAACTTAATATTAAGAAGCTTAAACCTTTAATCTCCCTCTTGAATAAACTTCGATTATTATATTTTCCAGATTGCGGCTACCTCCCATATTTTTTAAGGTCAAATTTAAAGCCTGTCGAAAAAAGGTATTTTTGTTTGGAGAGTGTGTGCGTTTTTATGTCTGATTTCATAGCTTAATGAATAGTTAATACCAATTAATTAGCATATTTGTGGTAAACCTTTTTAAACATAAGATAGATACAATTATTACTTGAAAATTCGATTATGAGAGCAAACGATATTCAAGTTGATGTCTTGTTTTCGTACACTGTTACATATGTCCCTTAATAAAAGTGTTTATATTAACACTTTCATAGCGGCAATGACGGGCCTTTGTCCCACTCTCTGCTCTTAGAGTTCCCTTCCAGCACTAAAACTGAAATAAAACGCGAACTCCTTTAAAACTTAATTATTTTATTTTAAAAATAATAATAAATTGCAATCAATAATCACATTCACTAATACAACAACAGAGAGCAGCGAGTGTTCCTGGAAGACGAGTTATCTCGTCTGCTGTGATGAAGGAGTTAAAACATAGCAATATTTATGTTTTGGTCAACATTGTATTACAACACAGTTTCTAAATTCTTAGTTTTTTCCATTAGTGCAAAACTCTAGCTTCACGGGTAAACTACGCTACTATATAAATTGCTACTGTCTTGATCGTCACGGTGAAGGAGTTAAAGCAAACCAATGCTTACGATTTGGACAACACTCTACTACCACACACATTCTCCACAGTTCAGACCTCCACAGATGACAAGAAAAGAAAATTCCTTTAAAACTTAATTATTTTACTTTAAAAATAATAATAAATTGCAATCAATAACAATATTCTCTAATACAACAATAGAACACAGCGAGTATTCCTAGAAGACGAGTTATCTCGTCCGCTGTGATGAAGGAGTTAAAACATAGCAATATCTACGTTTTGGTCAACGCTTTATTACCACTTAGTTTCTCATTTCTTAGTTTTGTCCATTAGTGCAAAACTCTAGCTTCATGGGCAAAATGTGCTACTATGTAAATTAAAAGAGACTATTTTATAGTAATAACGATTATAAATATGGTATTCAGAATGAAATGTAATTCTATGATTAAAAAAATTATACAATTTAACTTCCCTGGTTTAATTTGCAATAAAAAAAAGGAAGAACTGCCGGAAATTAAATTATATTTAAATATATCCAAGATAAGACTCTGTTTACAATTTTTTCCCCTTCACCATCTGGCAGAGAATCAGATTTTCAGTGAAAGAGATAACACTGAATAAGGGAGAAAATTCTCCGCTGAAAAATTACAATGCTAAATTAATTATCATTAAAACTGCAACGGAACCGCGTCAATTTATCAAATGGTTTTGTCCAATAATAGGAAAAATACTTTTGTGCGAAATGTAATCCTATAACTGAAAAGGATGCCCAATTAATATTCATGATGAATAGTGCGAAAAGTTGGTTAGAATTTTCGCCTTTGTTAAATAATTATAATCATTTACAATAAAAATAAGTTTATCAATTCCACAAAATAAGTTTTACTAACATAATCCTTTAATAATAGAACGGGAAGACAGGGCAACAGATGCAAATGGAAAGTAAATTAATGAGCAATATGCTAATAAAAGTATTTAATTCCGTAAATTATTTGAATTTTATGCATAGACAGCAGCGTAAAATTTTACAAATGTTATATTTAATGAAAAATACGGGTTTAACGTATCAGTGAAATATTTTTTTTTGTTTAAATGAATTCAATAAGTTATTTTTTTAAAACATTCAAAATAATTAGGAAGTTTAAAGTTTCAAAGAGAATCTCAATTAATTATGCATTGTTTATTTTTAAATGGAGTCTAGAAGTCACGTGTGTCAGTTAAATTCAGCGGTAATTGGGAAAAGGTAGTTCGATGTAAAAATATATAAATAAATAAATGAATATCTCAAAGAAAAGTTATCAACAGTTAAACTAATGAACTTACATGTTTTAAGAAATAGAACTTACAATTTTATCAAATCATTACTTTTGTATTTAATTATCTTATTTCCTGACTTGTACGATAATTTCAATTTAGAAATTGAAAAAAAATTAATCCGTTGCTTTGAATTGTAAATTATTTTCAAATTAGCTAAATTTATAAAGCTATATAATCAATTATAAATTTTTATATGCATTAAATATTTAGATTTCAAATTATATATATATATATATGTGTGTATGTATATTTATGTTCTTTATTTAATATAACCTTATAAAATATTGTAAAATTTGTGTTTGTTAATGAATATATAAATAAATGTAAATTTTGGAATAAATTACGTCTTTGAAATTGTTTATCGAATTTAAACTAGTTTTTTTAATGCAAAAACTTACTACCGAATAGAATGTCATGCATAAAAGAATATACCATTATTTGTGTTTTTTATTAATCTACCATTTAAATGTTTTCCAAAATGTTTGTATCACTATATTTATTTAGTTTTAAACGCACACGCACATCTTCATTATAAACAGTTCCGCACTTAAGTTTGGTTCTGAGATTTAAAATTTCTAAGTGTTCAAAAACGTTATACATTTTGTTGTTACTATATTAATTAAATTATTTGCAAGAAGTAAGCGTTAAATTCTTTCAATATGTATAAATAAAATAGCAAAATAAACTAACATAAATTCATAAATATCTTAAAATAATTTAATAATAATAAACATTTCATTGTTTGTTTCAGTATTTCCAGTCTATAGCTTTAAAGTAAATCTCATTCACTCGGATCAATGGCACGGTAACAGGTAGCTAACTGCCTTTGGCATGTTCAGAAACCCTACAACTACGATCAATGCAGGACCAAGATGAAGCTAACTAATAATTCAGAATATGATATTCACAAATTTATAACAAGAAATCTACCAGAACTGCATCTGTATACACGCCAGATATAAATTTAGGTTGTGTTTTGCAAAGAGTTATGAGTCAAATCTTCACAGAAAGCAATGGTGCAGAGTTTATAGTTAAAAGTTTGTAAGAAACAATAATCTATTATTTATTAAAACTTTTAAAAAATATTGATATTTTTGCTAATTTGTAGCAAGTGTGAAAAAATAGCTAGTGAAATGGAAATACTGATGTCGCATCAGTATTTCCATTACTGATGAGGATTTAGGTTTACTTATGAGGATTTAGGTTTTTCATTCTTAAGGTTGTTTTTCGAAGACTTCATCGTCATATGAAATTATGCTTTTTTGCGAATAATATACTATTTTCATAACTGCTGTGAGTTTTCAACAGTTACTCATGACTGTTAGGACAAATTTAGCCTATCTAAGGTTAGTGCTATAAATGCTTACTCTGAAAATGGTGCAAAACTTCAATATGAAGAAAAGCCATGGTTTTGTGGCCATGAAAAGCGTTTGTAGTCTAATTTTTGTTAATATTAAAAAACTTACTTCAATGCTCTATTATCTGGGCTCATAAGAAATTGCAAAAACTGAGATTAAAGCAGTGATTTTGATTGCTTTCTTCTATACGGAAAAATGCTGCCAAATTGGCAATTTTTTATCAGGTTTAATAACTTTTGAAATATTTAAGTTATTCATTCGCTGTGAAGCTCAGATAATTCTAATCGAAAAAATAATATAAATAGTTTAGAGTCATCCTTTTGCTTCAAGTGA